TTCTCCACCCCGCACAACATGATCTACTCGACCACCATCATGGATACCGCCAAAAAAGAAAAAAACGGAGGTAAAAAAAACAATAAGGTAACCTGGTTGCCGAGTTCACGAAGTGAATTGGCTTCTTTTACAACGTCGTTGCCAAGCGACGAAAACCCAACCCCGATGGCAAACACCGGGGGGGGCGGCTTGTTTTACAACGTCGTTGCCAAGCGACGAAAACCCAACCCCGATGGCAAACACCGGGGGGGGCGGCTTGTTTTACAACGTCGTTGCCAAGCGACGAAAACCCAACCCCGATGGCAAACACCGGGGGGGGCGGCTTGTTTTACAACGTCGTTGCCAAGCGACGAAAACCCAACCCCGATGGCAAACACCGCCGAGGGGGGGATGGCGGATGAGGGAGGAGGGTAAACTAAAGATTGAGGCGGGGATGTTCTTCGTCTCCGAGCGAGAAAAGTGATGGTCCTGATGACTATGCTGGCTACCTTGGCGAACACCTAAACCGTGTTGACAAGGTATGTCATGTGTCTTGTCCTTTCCAAAAATCGTGCCTCTCTTTCTGCCTTTCTCTCTGCCTGTGATGGTGTTGGATGCTTGCGTGTTTCTTATCGTGCATCCGTTTTGCCCGTGGCTCCCTGTAATGTACACTCTTCCTCATCCCAGCGTGTCCAAGGGCAACCCCTGATGTTTGAATGTACCTCGCCTCCCTTCAATTTAGTTCTGCGGGGGTGCGTAGCTCATCCTCGTCTCTGACGTATTCTACGACCTGAGGGTATGCTGTCGGTTGTGCCCCCCCCCCCATGCGTGCTTGCAAATATTATTGATGAATGTACATTTGTCAGCTATTGCAAGAATTATACTGCAGCAAAGGGAGGGAGCATGCTCTCCGTTCCTCCACGGCCCACTATTTCCCTCCTCTCACAATTCAATATTGTTTCGCTGCTGATCGGTAACCTCCAGGTCGAGTCGCCGGGTCCTTCGCTGCAACATCGTTCAATGCGTTTTCTCGGATCCTCATGGTGTTCACAACGGGTCGACGCTTTGACGGAGGAGGCGGAGAAATATCCCGCTCGACGTGTCTCACAGTTCTTTTTTTATTCATATGGTGCGATGATATGCTTGTTGCTCTCGCTGGTGCATGAGGGCGCCTGGCGCGGGATGAGAGCCAGGTGTTTTCTTACTGTGTTGTGTGTGCCAGGGCGTTTGGAATACATCGCAGCTGCCTCTTGGCTTTCGTTCACGCCATTTCAATCCGTGCGAATTGTGGCTTTTGGGGGGGAGGGGAGGGTGGAGTTTTTTCGATGTTGTTGGGAAAGTAGAGTTTTTTTTCTGCAGTCTCTGCATTGTGTTTGGAGAATACCGCTGTCGCAGCTGGCTCCGTTTCAGGCAGTGACGTTATTCCTTGACTAGAGTTAGTTGTACTCATAGTCGTGCATGCCGTAGTCGTTAGACCATTGACCTCGCATCCCTACAAAGCCGGGACGGAGCACGCCGGGTTCTCACCGGACCAGGCTCTCATATCTCTAAGCGCGAAGCCGTGAGATATTCGGCGAGTCGCATGAAGGGTGCACTGCATCCTGGTATAAGGGTTTTCGGCATCTTGTGCTTACTTCCTTGCGTACGGATGACAGCTGCGTATGACTTAATTTATTTTCTGGTGCTTTCACTTCCAGAGACAGTTGTAAGCACTGTGTAACTGCCTCGAGGGTGCTTGACCATTTTAACACAACGTGGTGCGATCATCCCCCTTACGGGGAGTGAGGATTCTCGACCCCGCACAACATGATCTACTCGGCCACCATTATGGTTACCGCCAAAACGAAACCAGAGGTAAAAAAAAAAAACGGTAACCAGGGTGGAGGGGGGTTCTTTGTTTCGTGTCGGGAGAGACGGCCATTTCTTCCAGTGCGTTTGGACAACACGCTACCTGTAGCTGTTGCTTCCGGCTGACTTGCTTTTCCTCACAACAAAGGTAGTTTTCTGCGTGGATTGTGGGTCGTCTCCATGATCGACGTCGCTGACGGTCATGGGCGAGGGCATGCTGTTGTGGGGGGACATTCAATACACAGAACGACGTTCGGAAGAGTATGTATGTACTTTTATTATTTTGTTTGCCCTCCGACAATTGCAGATAAATGCAGACATACATAAAAAGTCGATCGTAAAGGCCGTCATGCCAAGCCAAGTTAACTCGATGCCCAATAGCTAGGAATGTTTGCCTCTAAGTCAACAAAACTTTTGTCGAAACACTACAGCTGAACTCTAGGCACGAACCTTAGATGGAGAAAAACGAACAAAACCCCAACCTCATCCACCCGAAATCAAACAAAACTCGGCCCCGTCTTCCCTGGTACCCCTGACACCGTAATGAACAGAAATCCGCTTTCCACCGAAGTGGTGGGGTTAAAGCTGTCGCACGCATATTTCGGCGCGCAAAAGTCTGTGCGGCATTGCTGATCGATATTGCCACCGGTCACACCAAGAGATGTATGTATTGTTTCAATTTGAAAATTGTTTCAATTTGAAGTACCTTTTATGGTTCTCGCTTACATGTTTTCGTGCAACTTGGGATGTTTACGATCCTGGGTATTGATGATAAGCCCCAGGCGGAGATGTGTTTAACCTAGAGCTACTGGCAATGTGTATGATGCATAGGCACGGGAAGAACAAGGTTTTCGTGTGATTGAGAGCGAAGTTTCTGACTGAGAGCGAGATTGCGCGATGCGCTGTAGCTGGACTACCGCTGAGAGGTGGAGCTTGCTGCGTGACTTGAATTGAAGGCCTAGCCCGTAGCTACAAGCCGATACCCTGGTCATCCTGTGGGCGTCTCTCGTTGTGGAGCTACAGCGGGGNCATCGGCAACCTGCCCCCTCACCGGCTTGTGCGCAACGCGTCACCCTGCAACAAAGGGTACACCTTGCACTATTACCGGCAACTTGCCCCCCAACCGGCTTGTGCGACGCGCGCCAACCTGCAAAAAAGGGTACACCTTGTCATACCATAGGCATCCTCCCCCTAACCGACTTGTGCATGGGGCGCCAACCTCCAAGAAAGGGTACACCTTGCGCTGCCATCGGCAGCCTGCCCGCTGTCCAGCTTGTCAGCAGTGCACCACCCACAAGAAATGGTACACCTTGCACCGCCATCGACAGCTTGACCCCTATCCGGCTTATTAGCAGCGCATCAACCAAGAAAGGGTACACCTTCCGCCGCCATCGGCAGTCCGCCCCCTGTCCAGCTTGTTAGCAGTGCACCAACCACCAAGGAAGGGTACACCTTGCACTACCATCGGCAACCTGCCCCCTATCCGGCTTGTACACAACGCGCAACCTCCAAGAAAGGTATACCTTGCACATTCTGGCCATCGTTGCATTACGAGGATTACCCAAGGTGGGGAGGTTGCAACTCGTGCCAAAATAAATCTCGATTCAGGTTGCCAAAAGTGCCCGTACAACCCGGTGTGTTGGCCACCCGTGTTTCAAAGCCTTACACGAAAACTAGCATTCCTCTGTGGTGTAGAGACAAGAATGAGTAGAAGGGGCGAAGGGCAAGACGATCACGTGGTGTAGGTGTCCGACGAAATGACATGCGTGATCTACTTTTTGCCGATTGTTTGAATCCGACGCGCTCAACTTATTTCGTGTTTCCTCACCCTCCGGCTGTGGCGCATACTACTACTGTTATCTCCCGTTGGGGCAGGACGTAGGAGATACTGCACAGGATCCGGGTCTTGCTACAGATCCGGGGGCATGGTTCCCTGCTCCGAGTGCGCTCTTGAGTTCAGATACCGATTCAGCGTGTAATTAAAGAGCAGTGCGGGGACCCTGACTACACAGGAGGAATGCCAGATACTACTTCACTAGAGTTTGGGTCTCGTCGTGGGGACACGTACAACAAGTGGCAATGACACCATACTATTCTTCTAGGAGAAGCGCACAAATATTGCATGCGTCGAGTGTTTTTTTGTTGTTTGTTTTTCTCCCATCACTGGACTCTGTCGTCTGCTCCTCTGGCCCCTATCCTCCACTTCTACCAGC